CGCCCCACCGCGCGAGGCCCCCGCACGCCGCGCGCACTCGTCCCGTCGCGCCGCGGGGCGCCGCCCCCTGCGCGGAGCGAGGCCCCCCCCGGAAGAGCGCGACACCCACGGCCCCCGCCGATGCGGCGCAGGTGCGCCCCCCCCCCCCCCGCGCGCGCGCCCCGTCGCGCAGCGAGGCGCCGCCCCCCCGTGCCCCCAAGGCCACACGAACGGTGATGTTGGGAAGCAACTTGTAGGAAATTCGCCGGCCCAACGGGCCAGAGGCGTGCTAAGATCTCCGGTAACTGGTTAACAATTGTATATTGTACTAGTTCGCGCGCGCGGGGCGGCCCCTGGGGGTCCCCCGGCGAAAAGTACCCCGCCCGCCGCCTGACCAGGTCCCGCCCGGTTCAACTCAGAGATGGTTTTCCTTCTGGGTGCGGCCTCTCAGGCCGCCCTGAGCGCGCCAAGAGTGCCCCAAGAGGCCCCCAAGATTGCTCAAGAGGCCCCCGAGACGTTCAAAGAGCGCTCCAAGGCGCCGAAGATGACCCCAAGACGGCCCAAGAGACCCCCAAGACAGCCGAAGAGGCCTTCAAGACGCCCCAAGAGCCTTCCAAGAGGCCTCCGAAGAGGGCCCCAAGAGGCCAAAATCGTTGATTTTCATTGGTTTTTCCGATGTTTTTTGCGTTCTGGCTTTTTCGGCTTCCGGACGCTCCAAGACGACCCAAGAGGCGCCCAAGATCGCTCCAAGACGGCCCACGAAGCTCCCAAGACGGCCCCGAAACGGCCCAAGAGGGCCCCCAAGACGGCCCAAGTGCCGCCCAAGACGGACCAAGAGGCCCCAAGACGGGCCCAAGAGGGGCTCAAGAGGGATACAGAGAACTGAAAAATCGAGCCCTCCGCCCCAGAAGCCGCCCAGGAGGTCCCAAAGAGGCCCCAAGAGACCCCCAAGAGGCCCCCAAGACGCCCCAAGAGGCGCCCAAGAGGCCCAAAAGAGGCCCCAAGAGGCCCCAAAACGGCCCTCAACAGGCCCCAAAACTCGGCTAGCCCACCACGGCGCGATCATGCAATATGGACAAGCGGAGTGAGCGAAACGATTGAATCACATTTCATTTCAGACCTCCTCTGCGCCGCTTCCGAGGCCGTCCGAGTTCACCCCCCGTCTGGGCCACCCCCCTTTACGTTCACCCGAATGTCGGGCCCTGGGGCCCTCAGACATCGATCCGGGGCGAAAGAGCCGAGCCGGACGGACCACGTTGGAAGCCCGGGGCTCGATTCTGAGCCGATGTTCGGGAGAGCGCGTCACTGGATTCAGGCAGGTTCGCCGGCCCAACGGGCCAGAGGCGTGGTAAGATCTCCGGTAACTGGTTAACAATTGTATATTGTACTAGTTCGCGCGCGCGGGGCGGCCCCTGGGGGTCCCCCGGCGAAAAGTACCCCGCCCGCCGCCTGGGAAGGTCCCGCCCGGTTCAACTCAGAGATGGTTTTCTCCGCCTCCTATAAGCACGGTAAGCACACATTCGGCTACAGTCAGACTTGGTTGGACTGGACACCCACCAGACTCTTCCGACGGCAGCGTGGCCCCAGAGCACCGAAGGAGATGCGGGTTGCATCATGAGGTCGTGATCGACAGGACAAGCTACCCTCGATTTGGCATGATCGACCTACCAATCAGGGCCGACTGTAACCCAAACATCCGACGCCGTGATTCGTTCTCAACGTGGCTCCCATCGGTCTGTGCCCCTTCCTGGGGACCCCTAAGAGGTCTCGACCCATGCCGCGGGACCGGTTTTTCCAAAGGGCCTCCAGGGGCCAAAAATAGCGAAAAACTCACCGTCGCGATTTCTTCATGACTCGAGGGGGTCTCGGAGACGGATAACCCAAGCATCCGACGTCACGATTTGTTCTCAACGTGGCTCCCCAACGGTCTATGCCCTTCCCGGGGGCCCCCAGAGGTCTCGACCCATGCCCCGGGACCGGATTTTCCAAAGGGCCCCCAGGGGCCGAAAATGTAGAGAAACCCTCCGTCGCGATTTCTTCATGTCTCGAGGGGCCTCGGAGCCGGATAACCCGAACATCCGACGTCGCGATTCGCTCTCAACGTGGCTCCCCAGCGGTTTGCGCCCCTTCACGGGGGCTCCCTAGAGGTCTGGACCCATGCTCCGGGGCCGGAGGTTCCAAACGGCCCCCAGGGGCCGAAAATACATAGAGAAACCCTCCGTCGCGATTGCATGACTCGAGGGGGTCTCGGACTCGGATAACCCAGACATCCGACGCCGCGATTCGTTCTCAACGCGGCTCCCCAGCTCCCAAGCGGTCTGCGCCCCTTCCCGGGGCTCCCCAGAAACCTCGACCCATCCCCCCCGTCCGGTTCGTCAAAAAGCACCCAGGGGTCAAGAAAAGCGACAGACCCTCCGTCGCGATTTCTTCGTGACTCAAGGGGTTCTACAATCCAGGGAATCCAAAACGCGACGTCCCCAGACGTGCCGCCCTTCCCCCTTCGCCCCCTCCTCCTCCTCCC